TTATTTGAGAATTCTTAGTTTAGTAAAAAAATTTATTCTTCTTAGTTGTAGTTCTACTTACTTAATTTTCAGTTTTGTTTCGCATGCTTGTGCTAACAACAGGAAAGATGAACATGCATGAGGAAGAGATGAATGAGAGTCAAGCTGGTCATCGAGACGGTGTAGACGACGTAAATAGTGTCTATAATCTAGATTAGTCGGGTGGAATGGGTGCAATTTGCATTTCCACAAACTGACGGGAATGCGATGTTTGAAGTCACTAGCACAACTCTTCACCTTCTCCAAATGAGAGGACTATATGGAGGGCTAAATCACGAAGACCCGCATGAGCATGTGAGAAGCTTTATAGAGGTTTGCAGCTCTTTTTCATTCAAAGGTGTTTCACAAGAGTCAATTTGACTGCGGTTATTCCCATTGTCTTTGAAAGGAGAAGCAAGAAAGTGGTTAATCGAGTTAGAAAAAAATTCTATCACATCATGGGAGGAGCTGGTCATAGCATTTAACACAAGATTTTTTCCTCCATAAAAAATGATGAAGCTTAGAGATGAAATCCAAGGGTTCAAGCAAAGGGAAGGGGAACCACTCCATGAAGCATGGGTGAGATTCAAGAAGCTCTTACTTAAATGCCCAACTCATGGGCTACCAACCGATTTGTTACTTCAATATTTCTACTGGAGCCTTGATTCAGTTAATAGATGAGTGGTTGATCAGTTGGTACGAGGAGGAATAATGTTACAAACATTTGAGGTGGCTTCATTTCTTCAAGACGACAGGACTAGAGTAAATCAAGTGTGGTATACAAAAGATGATCACGTTTCCCCATTCCACTTTAGATTAACAGAAGAGCAATTAGATAAAGAGAAAGAGAGGGATGAAAACATCAAGAAGATGTTGACTCAGATGGAAGTTCTACAGGAGAATATGAAGGGAACATGTGGAATGTTCAGAGTTGAGGAGGGTTCATCCCCAAGCTATTCAAAGCCTGGGGAGAATCAAGGTTGGAACTCCAGAAGATGTGATGAGGGTTTCTACCCACTCTATTGGCAGCGAGGTGGAAATCAAGGTTGGAACCATTATAAAGAAGTTGAACAAAGGAAGTGTCATCAAGATTTACTCGAGTAGAGTGATTATTGGAGAAAAGAGGATGAATATGAAGAAAATCTCACTCACTCAAGTGAGAGCCCAAAATCAAGGGGGAGTGCAAGTAGTCCCCGTGTGAATGATTTGCTTTCACGCATCCTTGACAAAGTGGAAGGCTCAGACGATTTATTAAAAGGAATGAAAGACGATTTTTCATCCTTGAACAATAAAGTAAACTCACACGCAGATACAATCAAAAACCCTTGAAGGTCAATTGAGTTTACTTACAGTACAATTGAACAAAAAATGGAGATGGATGATGAAGATAGAGGGCTGGCTGTTGTCACTCGGAGCGGAAAAGAAGTAAAAGGTAATATAATGAGAACTGAGGAAGTGTACTTACCAACTGCAAGCAAAGATATGGAGGCCAAACAAATAACCATCCCATAAGACATCATAAGGGAGCCGCAGATTGATGTGGAGAAACATAAGCCATGCCTAAACATCAAGCAACCTTTACCCAAGATACCTCTTCCATTTCCTCAATGCCTCAAGAAGAAAAATGAGGATGAAAGGTTCAAGAAGTTTCTATCGGTATTCAAGACCTTATCGATTAATCTCCCTCTAGTTGAAGCATTGTTGGAAATGCCGGGTTACGCCAAATTCATGAAGGAGTTAGTCATAAGAAAAAGGAGCTTGGATTTTGAAACGATCGAAGTCTCTCACAGTTGTAGTGCGATTATGTCGAAGGAGTTAATCGAAAAGAAAGATGATCTTGGGGAATTCACCATCCCGTGCACCATAGGCTTGCTCAAGTTCACAAAAGCCTTATGTGATATGGGAGCAAGTATTAATCTAATGTCGTATGCTATTTAAAAACAACTCGGATTGGGTGAACCGCAGGCTACAACTATGAGACTCCTGATGGCTGACAAATCGATCAAACATCCGGTGGGGATACTTTATGACATTCTGGTTAAGGTTGACAGATTCATTTTTCCAGCTGATTTTTTCATACTCTTTTATGACATAGATGCCGAAATTCCTATATTCTTGGGAAGACCATTCTTGGCAACTGGGAGAGCGCTGGTGGATGTCGAGAGTGGGGAATTGAAGTTTCAGGTCAATGATGATGAAGTCACCTTTGACGTGTGCAAATCAATGAAACACCCGAGTGACATTCATGTAATCTTAGTTGATGATGTGATTGACGAGGCTGTGGCTAGTGTGAGTCATTTGATGTGTAGAAAAGAACCCCTTGGAGTTGTGTGGGTTAACAAAGAAGACTTCGAGGTTCAGAGCCAAGAGGAAGTGGTAGCCACATTTTCAATTAAGGGGGAATTCACAAAGACTCCAATTAAATTGAATATCGACTTACAAAATCGAGAAAGCCCTCCCGCCAAACCGTTAACCGAAGAACCACCAAGTCTCGAGCTTAAGGTATTACCTTCGCATCTCCAGTACACTTTCTTAGGAACAAATAACACTTTGCCGGTGATTAATGCGGATGGCTTAACTGATTGGCAAGTAAAATTGCTCCTTGAAGTTCTAAAAAGGTATATAAAAGCCATCGGTTGGACGATCGCTGATATAATGGGGATTCCTCCAGACATTTGCACACATAAAATTCAGCTTGATAGTGATTGTAAACCGAGTGTTGAACATCAACGAAGATTAAACCCACCAATGGAAGAAGTGGTGAAAAAAGAGATAATAAAGTGGTTGGACGCAGGAGTGATCTACCCGATTGCAGACAACAAATGGGTTAGTCCAGTGCAATGTGTATCGAAAAAAGGAGGAGTCACGATTGTCCCTAATGAAAATGGAGAGCTTGTATCTTTACAATCGGTGACAGGATTGAGAGTTTGCATGGACTATCGGAAGTTAAACTCATGGACTGAAAAAGATCATTTCCCCATGCCCTTTATGGATCAAATACTTGACCGACTATCCGAGAGAGGATGGTATTGCATTTTTGATGGGTACTCGAGCTATAACCAAATCTCCATTACTCCGGAGGATCAAGAGAAAACAACCTTTACATGTCCATATGGTACTTTCTCCTTCAAAGGAATGCCATTCGAATTATGTAATGCATGTTTCAACGTTGCATGCTATCCATCTTTGCTGATATGGTGGAAGACTCAATGGAAGTATTTATGGATGATTTCTCAGTTGTGGGCGACTCATTTGCAGAATGTTTAGAGCACTTTGGCCATGTTCTTCAAAGGTGTGTCGAGACCAAATTAGTCTTAAATTGGGAAAAGTGTCATTTCATGGTCAAGGAAAGAATTGTATTTGGTCACAAAGTATCACAAAAGGGGCTGGAGGTCGACAAAGCAAAAGTCAAAGTAATCGAGAAATTACTGCCTCCAATTTCAGTAAAGGGGGTTCAAAATTTTTTGGGACATGCTGGATTTTATAAAAGGTTCATCAAAGATTTCTCAAAGATTGCACTTCCTCTATGCAAACTTTTGGAAAAAGAGGTAACCTTCAACGTTGATGATGCTTGTATGGTAGCTTTCAAATGCCTGAAAGACAAACTAATTTCCACCCCAATCATCATTAGTCCTGATTGGTCAGAGCCATTTGAAGTGATGTGTGATTCAAACGGCATGACATTGGGCATAGTGTTGGATCAGAAACGAAATAAACTTTTTCATCCCATTAACTACACAGGCAATACTTTAAACAGTGCTCAAAGTAACTACACAGTTACCGAGCTAAAGTTACTTGCAGTGGTCTATGCGTTTGAGAAGTTTCGTGCATACTTGCTAGGTACTAAGGTAGTTATTCACACTGATCACGCTGCTTTGCGTTATCTAATGGCAAAGAAAGATGCCAAACCTAGGTTGATAAGGTGGGTGCTTTTATTGCAAGAATTCAATTTTGAGGTTAAGGATAGAAGAGGTTGTGAAAATCAAGTGGCTGATCACGCATCAAGATTAGAAGGCAGGGATAAAGACGAGTCAGAGATCGACATAAATGATGTTTTTCCCGATGAGCAGGTATTCACAGTAAACCTCACACAGCCCCCTTGGTATGCTGATTTTGCAATTATTTGGTGTGCGGATTAATACCGGATGAACTGAACTTTTACCAACAAAAGAAGTTCTTATTCGATGTTAAAAAATATTTGTGGGATGAGCCATATTTGTTTAGAGAGTGTGCTGACCACATCATAAGAAGATGTGTCCCAGAAGAGGAAGCTAGGTGAGATCCTGCATGCTTGTCACGCTTCGCCGGTTGGAGGGCATCATGGTGGTCTTTGGACAGCAGCTAAGGTGCTACAAAACGGGTATTACTATCCGTATCTATACAAAGATGCACATGAGTTTGTTAAGAGGTGTCCACAATGCCAAAAGCAAGGTGGTGTGTCCAAAAGGCACGAGTTGCCTCTAACACCCATTCTAGACGTGGAGCTGTTTGATGTATGAGGAATCGATTTTATGGGCCCATTTGTGAGCTCATTTGGCAACAAATACATCTTGGTGGCTGTGGATTATGTGTCTAAATGGGTAGAAGTTGTTGCTCTTTCAAATAACAAGGGAAAAAGTGTTGTTCAATTCTTGAAGCGCTACATTTTTGCAAGATTTGGGACTCCGCGAGCTATTATTAGCGATAGGGGACCACATTTTTGTAATAAATGGTTCTCAGCTGCATTGAGTAAGTATGAGGTTAAGCACAAAGTGGCAACACCATGCCATCCCCAAACAAGTGGCCAAGTTGAAGTGTCAAATTGGGAGATCAAAGGCATTTTGTCTAAGACAGTGAATGTAAATCGAACTGATTGGTCTCGAAAGTTGGATGACGCACTATGGGCATATCGTACTGGTTATGAAACTCCAATCAGTATGTCACCGCATCAATTAGTTTTTGGGAAATCATGCCATTTACCAGGCTAGCTAGAGCATAAAATAATGTGGGCATTGAGAGCTCTTAATTTGGACTTGGCAAAAACTTCAAAAGAAAGAGTAGAGCAGTTAAACGAGTTGGACAAATTTAGGTTTAAAGCTTACAAAAGTTCAGCTCTTTTCAAGGAAAAGATGAAGAAATGGCATGATGCTAAGATACTTAAGAGAGAGTTTAAAGTGGGAGATTGGGTGTTGCTATACAATTCACGACTGAAGTTGTTTCCTCGAAAGCTCAAATTGAAATGGTCAGGACCATTTAGAGTGACGCAAGTGTTCCCAAACGGCATTATAGAAGTTGAAGGGCAAGAAGGACATACTTTTAAGGTGGACGGGCAGCGTTTGAAATTATACTTTTGTGAATGTCAGGAGATTTCTTTGATTGAATTTGATGCAATACAAATTGCCTCAAGGCTATCTATTCACGAACATCAACGATTTGATGGAGTGTTCACAAGGATGAAGACTCTTGGGCATGTATGGATGATGAGGAGGGAGTTCCATGCCTTGCATGGGAACATATGCACTTGAAGGAGCTCCCAGTTGGGCAACACCATGCTTGGATGATAGATTGGAGCGTGGGAGGCCTAACTAATCGAGGAGGAACAATTGAAGACATGTTCCATTCAGCGAGAGGACAACCACTTCGGTGACTCGTCAAACCCTTTTGGTGAGGGTCCCAAGGTCGCCAACTGGTCCAAGGAGCTACAGAAGGGAATGTTGACCATTCGGCGAGATGGAGACCATTGGCGCATTGCCTAGTGGATTGGGTGATGGTCCCCAGACTGCCCAAAGTTCCAGTAGCTCGCCAGCCAAGGCTAGGAGTAGAGTTCCTCAGCAAGTCCATTGGGCGCATCGCCGATCCTTTAGGTGAGCCCGACTTGGCTCACTCATTGGCCCATTTTGGGTCACTTTTGGGCCCATCTATGTAATAAGTCATAAAACTATAAATAGGCCTTTAGGGGTTCATTTTAGGGTTACAATATTTTGAATATTGATGAATGATATATTGAACTCCTTGTGTGAGTGTTTGAAAGCTTAGTAAGCTTTTGTTGAACCTTGTTTAGAAATGGGGGTTGCTTGGGATATCGATTCCCTTGAGGTCTTTGTAACAGTTAGGTGCTTCTTGTTGGATTAACGAAGTGAGGTCTTTGGGTTTAACATACCTATAGGTTGCTCTTTGTTTCCTCTTGTTGTGTCTATCTGTTTATCCGAATTAGGTTCTTGTTAGGATCTAGATTAGAGGTTATTGGATTTAATACTTCCTTTAGTTGCCAATTGTTTCTTATCTTGTGTCTCTTCTTCTATGTTTCTTGTTTTCTGCATATTATCGAGATTCTTCTTATGAGAATCGTATCATTAGGTATCAGAACTGTGTCTAGATTCGTTCCTATAATTCTAGTCTTAGGGTTTGTTACGAAAACAAAAAAAAGTGTTCAACTCGTTTCTGAAGAAATTTTGAAATTGGTCTTGTTGATTTGAGTCTTGTTTGTCGTTTCCAAGGTTAGATTAGTTTCCCTAACCTATTTCGAGTCTAGGACTGAGATTTGAAAGGGTTTGGTTCACTATTTGAAGTTTCCACCATTGTTGGTTGAAGAAGCTTTGAAGAAGACGAAGTGGGTTTTGAAATCTAGAAGTTTTGGCAAGGAATTGAGTGTTAAAAAGTATTGGGGTTTGTTCTCCATATCAACGAGAGCATTCACCTAAAGTTTCGTGAAATTTCGAGCTAAAAATCTTTGGGGTTTTATTTTGGGTCTTCATAGTGTTCTTGAAGTTGTTGAAGAACATTCAAATCTTTAAAAAGGGAATATTTGAGAAAGGAAGTGTTTGATTCCAAAAAAAGGAAGAAAGAGAAAGTGTTAAAGTGTTTGTAAAAAGAGAATTTACCAAAAAGGGTAAATACCAAAGGTCAAGGAAGAGGGGGGGACCACCAAGGTTAAATTTTCGGAGCCTTGCAGTTGCAGCTTGAGGAATTTCAGCGAATCCCGACTTGGATCCCCCATTCCACTCTGCGCCTCACACTTTTGGCAGCTAGGTCACCGAGTTGGACCTCATTTTCGTGAAGACACTAGAAGTTTAGGCGAGCTAAGCCCAGGTCGCCGAATACATTTGGCGCATCACCGAACTTCCACCCAGATTGCCGAGTTGCCTTGTTCGATTGTCAAGTTTGGTGAGTCAATCTTCAAGTTGGCGAGCTGAACTTCATGTTTGGCGAAGAAAATATGCCATTTGGCGATGGGAAACTCATTTTATGACCTCTTTCATCTCAGGTTCTAATTTCTTAGTTTCCTTTTCTTTTGATTCTAGTGTGTTATCAAGAATCCTAAACTGATTTTCAACTTGTAATTACCTACTTGTTGACTATTAGTTCTTGAATTCACTTATTTGTAGTTCTTTTGTTTTCGTGCTTTTTTCGTTTTACTTCGTAGTTATTTCTTGACTCAAGTCCGGTTGCTTTAATTGAGTCATCCATTTTCTTTAAACAAAAATCCACTTCGGCCAAGAGTAGAAATTGAGACCTTGTGATAAACTGAGTATAAGCAATCTTCAACATTAGCCGCGCCAATTTGAGAGGCAATCAAAGGTGTGCAAACACGAGTGATTGTGAGGTCATTTAACTAATTCTAATGTTATGTGCTATTTTTGTTGAGTTGTCCTAATTGTTAGGTACCATGGCCACCAGAACCCTCCCACTTAAGGGGAAGGTTACCTGGGAATCCATAATAGAGGCCGTTGCTGACGTGCGTTGGAGAATGGAGAACATAAAAGAGCGAATGGCCTCTGTGGAGGATAGACTGGGAATAGAGGAGAGGTCGAACATCCATTCGAATAGGGTGCCATGATCTCAACCTAACCCTGATGTTTATCCTTCCCTTTGTAAGGATTCTTATGTAGGTACAAGCGTAATGAAGAGAGGAACATGAGTTCCCAACTAAGAGCCTACAACTAAAGGTGTGACAGACACCTTTGTGGGATCTTCCAACATCCGAGGTAAAGAAGATCCTTCTTGCGGGCGACAAGGTACAATGGCTACACTTGACACTTTTACCATTGCAAATGAACAAAGTGTGAATGTTAGATTGTCTATATGTAAGCCTATTACTTCTCTACCATGTGCTGATAATATGCTTGTTAAGAGTGTGGATACACTAGTTGATCGTATTGATGACCGAATTGATTCTTCTAGTAAGATCGATTTGTGTCCACCTAGTGTTGACACCTGTGATTTGAAAGATAGTACATTATTTAATGATAATTGTGTTGATAAACCTGATTGTGAATGTAGTTCACTGATTGAGGGTTTTTGTAATGTGATTAAGGAACCTCAATTTGGTGGTACTTATGATAATGTTGATCATTTGAACAGGAGTGACTCTTTGAGCATATCTTTTGTGGAAGATCCGATTGCTTGCTTTGCTCATAGAGATCATGTGCTTGAACATGCTTCGAAAAATGATATGTGTCTTTTTGAGAGTGAAATTGAATGTTTTAATTCTTCCCTAGTGGTTGATCATTCCCTCCTTAAGTACAATATCTTATTTGAAGATGATGAAATCAACCCTAGTGATGTACCTATTGGTGTGAATCTTGAGAGAAATATAGTTCTTGATAGCTATACTTGTTATAGTAACCCAATATGGTGTGAGGCTTTCCCTCCCAAAGATGGAAATCTCTTCTTGGAAGATGAGAGTACTCTTGTGGGGAAGGAATGTGCTGATGAGGAAGGTGGTGCGTGTTTTCCCATTACTTTTTCTTCTTGGTGTGTTTCACTCCTTGATAATATGACCAATGCTTTTGAGCCTATTGGTAGTCATACACATGAAAACACCCTAGAGGAGGTTGATTTGCGAGACACCTTTCTCTATTACTTGTTTACATATGATGGTGCTCATGCTGTTGAGTGGAGTATGTTGTTGGGAGGACAAAGTGCCATCCTGATAAATGGAGGGGCACTAGATCCAGTTCCGTGGGCTTTCTATCCTTTTGATTACGGTGGATGTTTGAGGGTATTTGAACTGGTGGGAGTATCATCTTTTAGGTGGTATTACCATGTTGATGAGAAGAATAACCATTGTACTTGTTCTCCATTTGTGGGCTTAATGGATGTTTGGTTGTTCCTTGAGTTTGAGTCTCCTCGACTAAATGTTTTAAGTGCTAACCTTTGTACTACCCCTCATGCTAAGAGGATAAGCTTCTTGCTTATGATCTATATGGTTTTACAAGGTTTGGATTCGTGGACTCACTTTTATCTACTTGCATATGATGATACTCATACTTGTGTGGGTTGCATATCTTATGTTAGTAGTGGTATAAATTGGGCATATGAGAGTCTCCTTGACTCGATGCTATGCAATCCTTTTCCATTTGACCCCGGTGTCGTCTTTAAGTGTGCTAAGTATGGTAGTAACACCATCTGTCATTTGCATGATTCTTCCGTGGTGTTATTACTTGATCCAATGTACTTGGATGAGGTATGTTTACCAATTTGGGTGGGGAATACTTATGTACTTGAACGTGCTTATGAATTGGGAATAATTACTCTCTTGAAGTTATCGGGTGCATTGGATGGGGCCTTAACTTGGATCATCACTACTTGTGCCTTCACACTTAGGTATGGGAGTGTTCATGTGATACTTGACATAAGGGAGGCCTTGTGCTTGTTTGAATGTGGAACCAATGAAGGCTTACATATGAGGTTGTTTAAGTGTATTGGTTCCTACGCTCTACCCCTTTGTCAATGTTTCTTACTTAGCCAAGATTCTATTGTTTGGATGGGTTACAACCCTTGGTTAATATATGTGATGCTTGGTTATATGTTAAATTTGTGCATCCTTGGCATGGTGATGAAATTGTTATTGCTAACGCTAACCCTCATGCCATGAGGATCTTCTTCTTGTTTGCATCCCCTATGGTTTTGCAAGGTATGGATTCGAGGACTAATCCTTTTCAAGTAGGGGAGAATGATGCAATACAGATTGCCTCAAGGCAATCCATTCACGAATTTCAACGCTTTGATGGAGTGTTCACAAGGATGGAGGCTCTTGGACACGTATGGATGACGAGGAGGGAGTTCCATGCCTTGCATGGGAACATATGCACCTTGAAGGAGCTCCCAGTTGGGCAACACCATGCTTGGATGATAGCTTGGAGTGTGGGAGGCCTAACTAAGCGAGGAGGATCAATTGAAGATGTGCTCCATTCGGCGAGAGGACAACTACTTTGGTGACTCGCCAAACCATTTTGGCGAGGGTCCCAAGGTTGCCAACTGGTCCAAGGAGATACAGAAGGGAATGTTGACCATTCGGTGAGATGGAGACCATTAGCGCATCGCCAAGTGGATTGGGCAATGGTCCCCATACCGTAAAAAGTTCCAGTAGCTCCCCAGCCAAGGCAAGGAGCAGAGTTCCTCGCCGAGTCCATTTGGCGCATCGACGATCCTTTAGGCGAGCCCGACTTGGCTCGCCCATTGGCCCATTTTGGGTCACTTTTGGGCCTATCTATGTAATAAGTCCTAAAACTATAAATAGGCC